TCAAGACCTTCGTAAAAAATTGAGATGGGGGTTTGAAATGTAGAAGGAAAAGTAAAAAGCGCATGTCATTTGCCCATCGCTACTACACACAGCACTAGAAGTGTAAGCACAGAGAAAGGAAACATACAACCTTGTGTGGTAATAACGCCCCCCTCCTTAAGAGCACCAAATAGCAACTCAAAGTATGGCTTTTGGAACAAGCTCTCAGCAGGTCCCTCTGGGTCAGAAGAATCGGTGATGATCACATCAAATTCGTTCTTGTAATCATCCAAAAACTTGAATCCATCACCGATGTGAGTCTTGACTTTAGGATGTTGATAGCTGATAGCCATTCCAGGGAGATATTTCTTGGAAAGACGGATGACAGCCTATTTTCACAATGTCAACAAGAAAAAGAGCCACAACTTTCGGTTTCAGCAACCCACCTCATCGATGTCGCAGAGAATGGCTTCCTCCACACAGTCATGCTTGACAACCTCACGCAAGACACCTCCATCTCCTCCGCCAATGACCAAGACCTTCTTTGGGTTTGGGTGGGAGTTCATAGCCAAGTGGGTGATCATCTCCTGGTATGAGAACTCATCGCGCTCAGTGCATTGGATGACGTTGTCGAGGACCAAGACGGTGCCATAGTCGGTAGATTCGAAGATTAAAACATCTTGATATTTGCTCTTCTCGTGGTGAAGGACGTTCTTGACCTTGAGAGTCATTGCCTGTCCGGGCCACATCTCGGAGATTTCGCGGAACCAGCCATCTGCGATTGTCTTATTAGCTTCGGGTACGTTCTTGCATATTGCCGAATGTAGCACGTCTTTCGCAGATGTTGTATTTGGAGCGACATCAAATGCAAGCCAAAGAAGCGAAGCATTAGTCAGACAGTGCCCATTTGAATGTCGGGTAATATGGCATGCCTTCCCCCAGGGATGTGTCTCACTTGAGATAATATTGCGACCATGTCTTTCACAGAACGCAACGATACAAGGGCAAAACATAAGGATAGAATGAAAGTTACTCAGACATACCCTTGATAGTGGGGTGGGTGATCTCTGACATCTTTGCTATGAGTTTGGAGGAAAATCGATTTGATAATAGAGGAAGGTTGTATCGAGGAGGAGAAGTGAGGGGCTTCAAAAAACGAGTACGAAATATATTGAGGAGAAAAAGATGAGATCTTTGCTTGATGGAGGCTTGGAGTGAATGAATGGGTCTCGGTTATCTTGGTTGAATCCTTAGATTGCAGGTACAAATGGTTCTCTTAACAAGTGAATGAAAAAGAAGTGGCAATGGCAGAAATTTGCAAGAAGTAACAAATAATGGGCCGCTCGCTGTCAAAAATACCTAGATAACGTTAATGATCTTGAAGAGTTTTTTTTCCTCCTTGTTGATATGACCGCGGCCGCTCCCAAATATTTTTTTACCCCACCATGCACCTCACTCGATGTGAGATCCACAAGCTTGATATGATTGGGCCAGATCTCGTGATGGTTCAAAAGAAGTTAGCTTAAGCTTACCCGATGTCATTGGCTAGAATTGGATTGAAGTTGGATCCACTTCACTCAATATGCACTAGCGTGAGTTGCTCAAATAGTCAAATCACGAGTTTTTCCTCCCCCATGGTTCAATCTGAATGTTGATTTGTAAGTGGCTAATGCATCCATAACTACCTGCACGCCGCAAATTAAAGGGTTCAGCAATACTCGATTTCTCCAAATTGAGTCTTGATCCTGGGAAATCTCACCAGTGAAAGATGGGGCCTCGGGGGCCAAATTCAAGTGAAGAGAGAGGCTTTAGGTGTGCGATAAATGACGACCATGTGGGCTTACCCTTGAATCTCTGAATGGTTAAATGTCGTTAGTCGGACAAAAATACTCTGGAGAAAGACGAATCAAACTGCCCAACCGGAAGATGGCCACGGTACCCTTGCTTAATTGTCGTCTAGACATCGAGGGATAAATGATAGTGGTTCGTTTCAGGAGTGAGAAGGGGGGATCTTGGAAGACTATTGACGGTCCGTACCTAATGCATCATTTCTGCATTAGCAAACTTTAACTTATCTCAGTACCGGACGGGAGGGAGCAGCTACGTACGTACATGGTGAGATTTCTATCCAAAGTACCCAATAGCCAAGTTCAAATCCAGCTATTCTACATCTGCAGACCTGAGCTCTTTGCCTCTTGCGATGACTTTGGGTTGATTTCTCCTTCCTTTCAACGTTACCCTTTGACAAGGAGGTTTCCATGCTTATTCGTGTTTGTGACAGATTGATAAATGGAGCTTCCGCCATGCTATAGGCTGAACATATCCAATCCCTTTCGACCTCGTGCTGTTGATAGCGATGCAGCACTAGTATTTTCTCACCATTCCGGCCATGCTTCTTTACTCCGTCTGTCAGGTATTGCAGATAGACCTTGTATAACCCATCCTTGGCCTTGTGCTTAGTGCGGTAGTATCAATCGGACTGCGCCATTCAGCCATTCTCGCCCTCCTGCTTACAACCCCTGAACGACCATCTTTTCATCCGCATATAGGAACATTTTGCGATTACATATTTAAGCATCACACCTCCCACATGTACGAGTGAGGCGAGGGAAGACATTGCAAGAAACACCTTCCTTAAAGTACCTTAAAATTCTTCAGATGACGGTTACACTACATAAGCCAACATCTCCATGGAGCATTGCAAATTAATGACTGGCCCATATATGTAAAAACCTTGCAAAACACTGCCCAGTGCCCATCTACCTTTGTGAACATAGACGAATCCTAGAAATATAGCTTCGTTTGACGTTTGATGTTCATTCGTCCGTTCTCGCCGTCGACCTTTGATCTTTCGATTTTTTATAACGGACCATTCACATCCATCGCCCACACTGTACACTGTGTCTATTGGTTGCCGCAGCGAGGGGGTGGACCTCTTAGTGCCCCTTTCACCTCAACATGAACCAAACTTTCGAGATTTCGGGACTGCATTTGACAACCTTCTTAAATCTACTACCGTACGTTTCCACGTTGCTTCCCTGTACATGCTTTACTTTCATGCATCTGTCGCATATGGAATGACCATTTCCATGTGGTTATATTTTGGAGTTCAGATATCCTGGTTATCCTTGTGTGAAGATTTTGAGACATTCGTACTAAAACGGCCGACCGTCTGAGGTTACAATCGATAGCGATGGTAACAGTGACACGGTGCTGCTCACATCGTCAGCATCTGCCACACACACCCATATCACTCTCGTGTTAGTGGTTTGACGTAGAGGTAGGTATTACACATCTTTTGATAATAAGCCCTAGAGATACACGATGTAATGAGCATGATAGGAATGCTGGAATGCTGGAATGCTGGGATGCTGGGATGCTGGTACATTGAGATATGTTTCGATGCACCCGACATGAATAGAAGACTCACGGAGAGCTCGATGCACTCAATATTGAATGAAGGATCATCAGTATTGGGGATGAAAATAGAAATACACAATCGCGCGCGAATAAAGCAAAGTCGATGACTGGATAATCGTCCACATAGACGCTTTGAATCTCTCGCTCGTATTGATCTTGCACACCTCCCTAGGCAGATATGTAAATATATCATCAATCTGTACATACCTACCTACCTACCTACCTACCTACCGACCTTGGTACGGAACGAAACTTATAACAATCTTCCTTTCTTTTTTTCTTTCCCTTTTCTCTTTTCCCTTTTTCCTTTCTCATTTCTTGCCGTACGCCTGCGTCAATGCGTGTAAGCCAATAATTTGCAGCTGCCCAGTCCAGTGTCTTTTCTTTTCCATGCTCATTAATAAGAGGCCGACAACCTTACACTTTTACCTGGGGGGTCATTTCATCCAATTCGGCTTCGAAATCGAGGATCATTCCTCTTCCGCTTTCCATTATTGCCTCTACCCCTTCCATCTCCATTTCTAATCCCGAATCAACATCAACATCAACATCAACATCTACCCCCTTCTTCTCCTCCTTCCATTCACCCACCACCTGTCTACCACCCGTCAAGTAATCAATTTCATAAAAAGCCGAAAGAGACCGTTTATTGGGGTCACATTATCTGATTCACTCATCAGTCGTTGATATTAATATCCAAAAATCCCTACCCACACCATAATAACTTTCTTTTTTGTGGAGGGAGGTATTACACGATTCAATCCGACTCCATATTCCAATTCAAGTCCAATCGGATATCAAACGTCGACCTCGTAACAAAATTCAACATCACAGCAGAACATCATCAATCCTACCTACCTTCTTCTTGCGCCGTGGAAGTAGTCGTGGTAATAGTTCTGGCCCTACGAGGACTGCATGCACCAAAGTCAAACTTTAACAGGATCGGCAATCCAAAGTTTATCTCATTAAACTGGTCCCCAGTAGGTATTTCAAATCATCAACACTTTTAGTCTTTCTACTGTGCCGGTCTACCTTGCATCTTCTTCAGAATCAACTGCTTATGACTGGATGAACAGGTCCCGTTCAATCTTCAAATCGACTTAATCTCCCGAGCGAGTTCCAGCCCAGATCCATCACTCTGCTCGCATAACCTTGGAAGCTATCCGTCAAATCCGCCCGCCCGTCTGGTCTTATCAATAGCGTCCTTCCCCGAAGAAAAATTAAAATCGACGAACCATTACCATTACCATTACCGAATCCAACGCTCGTTCCTTTGAAGAAAGAAGAAAATTCAACGCTCTTCAGCACTTGACGCTTGACATTTGACACTAGTTCTGCAGGATAACTAACCTGGACCGAACTCATTAACTTACTTTTGCCTGGTATCAGCGGCGAATTAATTAATTCCGCAACGTTACCAATAGCTTGCCCAGCCCATCCCGATCCTATCTCATCCCATCCCATCCCATCCCATTCTACTGAAACTCAATTTCTCTTCTACCCTGATCTTCGAAGCGCTCGCCAGTCACCAAAGTGATCCCGACAGCAACTGAGAATCTTTTCTCTCTTTCCTAAACTTTACGTATTAATTTTGGCCCTTCATGATGTGTTTCGGCAGTAGGGAGGATGTCGAGGCCAAGAGGTCCAAAGAGATAGACGCTCTTATCCACAGAGATGAGAAGGTTATGCAGCGACAAGTTAAGTTGTTATTATTGGGTAAGTTGTCGCGCCCTCCACAATTCGCCAGAACGACGATTGATCAATCATACTTTCTCGAGCTTCTCGAGCCTCACGATCTCAAGATGAAGATGGCATTTACTAATTCTTATGTTCTGCAGGTGCTGGAGAATCTGGAAAGTCAACAATTCTAAAGCAGATGAGACTTATTTATACCGATAAAGGTTTCTCAAAGACTGAAAAAGAAGAATGGCGCATTATCATCTTTCACAACATTTTGGATGGCTTGCGAATGACAGTGGAGGCAATGAATGATTTCAATACTCCTTTCGAACACGAAAGCACCAAAGTAGGTTAACCCTCAAATTCGCTTTCAATCTTGCGATCATTATCACAGGACATTGACTAATTACTTCATTCACAGCAATACCTTCCAATGATCACAGAAGAGAAGGATCTCAGACCATGCGAACCAATTCCTCTCGAATATCTGAAAGCATTCAATGATATGTGGGCAGATTCGGGTATCCAAAAGACCGTTGAGAGAGGAAATGAGTTTGCTCTGCATGATAATTTGGGCTAGTAAGTCTCTCTTTCAGCTCTGCGAAATGTACACTTCTAATATGGTGGGTTTTAGTTTCTTCGAAGATTTAGATCGTCTCTTCAGCAAGGAATTCGTTCCAACAGATCAAGATGTTCTTCGCGCCAGACTAAGAACTACTGGTATCACCGAAACACACTTCGATCTCGGCTCATTGCAATACAGAATGTTCGATGTTGGAGGACAACGATCGGAACGAAAGAAATGGATCCATTGCTTCGAGAATGTCAACGCATTGCTATTCTTAGTTGCTATCAGTGGCTATGATCAGTGTCTAGCTGAAGACAAGGATGGAGTAAGTCTCTCTCAGCCGCAAATCATTATACACCAAACATTGACTAACAATTTGCCAGAACCAAATGCAAGAAGCTTTAATGCTTTGGGAGTCGATTGCTAACTCTCATTGGTTTAAACACTCAGCATTGATTCTCTTCTTGAACAAGATCGACTTGTTTAAAGCAAAGATTGGCCACAGCCCGATTACCAAGTTTGGTTTCTCCGATTTCCAGGGAGATACTACAAGCTCGCAACAAACCTCGAAATACTTCATGGACAAGTTTATTGCTCTGAACCGAAGTCCTGGACGCGAAGTTTATAGCCATTTCACAAACGCCACCGATACTGATCTCCTCAAGGTCACAATGAGCTCCGTGCAAGATATGATCATACAGAGAAATCTTCAAAAGTTGATCCTTTGATAATTAACCTCTGTCTGTTCGGAGCCAAGCCTTCAAGATTCCCCATTCCAGAAAAAGCATGACCCCTCTCTATCTGAGCAGCACAGAACCCCCGTTAATATAAATACGACCATCTGCTGCGGTGAATATTAGTCCGCCTTAAAAAAAATATCGCATCGCATCTGCTTCTGGTCTTTTATGAGACGTCCCAGCGACGCCAGGCAAAAATTCCATCTTACACCGCACATGGAGCAAATTTCTTTTCACCAAAATACCCACACACTTTAACATGTCTTTTTTCTCTTTTTTCTTTTCTTAATTATTTCATTTGAGGGCAGATGAGAGATTATTCGGAGAATTTTCGAATATAAGATGGCTTGTATAATACAATCAACGTATCGATCAATTGGAGATGCAGTCTGCATCTGTTCGCTGTTCATACACGAATTCTCGGTTGATTAGACAGCTGGCGGTATCATGTTTATCCATGTATTTCTCTTCACTTGAGGATATACAATTCATACAACTCACAGCCTTGCTTTTATGCAATGTCGAACAACGGTGGAGGAGTTTCGCTTGCATGGAGAGGAGGAAGGAGAGAACAAAGGGAGTTTAATCTAATATTTTCAAGGATGGGTATTGACTGATTGGAATGAGAGAAACGAACTTGGGGATGGGATATATTTTCGAATTTTCATGCAGTTAGTTGGTTGGCCTCGCTTCGCTCTGGTGGATGTTGGTCTTATTTTAGATTTTATTGAGGGGAAGGGGAATACGTGGTAGCGGGGAAAGGGAATATTTGGAGTATGCATGCCACTGCACATGCAGGGAGATGTTATTGAACGGAGGGTAGTGTGGGAGTGAGTCTTCGGCTGTTGAAGCGAATGTGGAAGTTTGAGATATGATACGAAGCGAGTGATTGATTGATAGAGAAATGAACTACATAACCATCCAAATCATACCCGATATATTACATGGTTCGTGATAGCATAGTTTGTGATATGTCATTCCTCGATTTGAACTCGATATCGCCTTCCCATCTTCCCTTTTCCTATCCTATACATGTGGAGACAGAGGGCATGCATACACGATGGAGTTGATCTCTCCTCGCTATCTCGCTATCGTTATGTGTGTATATCTTTGCGGTAGTCGATCTATTGTTTTCTATAGTATTCTATTATATTCTATTCGATTCTACTTCATCTTGTATAACGAACTCGAAATGTGTGTGTATGTGTATATAGGTATATATATATAGATATATAAATATTCGCAATAATACATATGGAGATAGGTAGGTAGGTAGTATAAGTAGAGAACAAATTGTAAATTGTAATTTGTAAATTGTATTTTTAGATTTTTTTTGTATTCTTGGAATTTATCTTCACATCCGTTTTTTCTTCCTTCAAATGGTCTTTGATTTTTGATTTCGAATTGAATCGATTGTTTGAATTTGGCTTCTTTTGAATTATTTTGAGTTGAGTTATATCTACTTCTACTTCTACTTCTACTTTTACTTTTCCTAAATTCTAAATTCCAACTGTCTGATTGCCCAATTGCCCCATTGCTCAATTGCACAAGGCAGTGACACTTTTTGTGTGTTTGTCTAGTGATAGATAGATACGGAGATGTATATCCATCTGATCTATCCACATATGTTTGTGTGATGGTATGCTGGGTTCTACCAGTATATCTTCTCTTTCATCTATCCATCTCATATACAACACCTCTCTTATGTAAATCATTACGTGGATGGGTGAGTTCCCTCCGGTTCCTCTAGTTGATTGGAGATGGTGTCTGTCTATCCCCCGTAAAAATAGATATGCAGTTCCTAACGCCATGCATGCATGCTTCTCATCATTTCTCGCTGTACAATATCTTACACTCTTTCCTACAACTTTCTCATCTTCTAGAATCCTTGTCACTGGAGTATATGTGCAGCTGCATATGCACATACACATCAAGGCAACGCCCTCATAACGCCCTCAAACGCCACTAGCGCAACCGCGTTCGCCGGGAAAGCTCTCAAGAAACAGGGTAGGAAGCCTCTCCAATACCCTTTCCATCCACTCTCCCTATACACCTCCCTCGCCGCACTCTTCCAATTTGGAAATCTGCGCACCCCATCTCCCAATCCACCAGCTAGTGGATCTGTCATAATCCGTTGTTTAACCACATCACTCGGGTAACTCGTCATCCAGAAAACCTGTGCCGAGAGACCGCCAGCCCAGAAATTAATGGCAGGGGTACTCAATTGTGTTTTTTCTGACAACAGACGAGTGAAAACATCGTACGAACCCCACCAGAAGAAGAAAAAGGAACGGAAGAAAAGAGTAGCGGAGAGACCATGGTAGAGACCTGGTATACCATGATATCGGTAAATTTTACGTGCGCAGTCGATAGGACCGCTATATAGACGTTCGGATTTCTTACTCGAGTATTGGATTTGTAGACGTGCTTTGAGATGTTCGACGGGGGCCGCAATAAAGCTTACGGTTGCGCCTGCCATGACACCAGCGAGGGCATGGCCTATAGAGGGCAATTTGTGGATTTGAGAGGGTGTGAGGGCATCACCGGGACGCGCAAGACTAGATGGGGTGGCGGCCATGCGAGATGGGGAGAAGAGGGTTTGATGGAGAAGTTTGCGGTAGAAGGTTAGGGAACCGAGCATTATACTATCCATGAACATCCAGCCTACTAGAGGGGGAGTGGCACCCTTGTAGAGACCGCTGAAGCCTTCATTGCGAATGGTGAGGAGAAGACATTGGAGTGGCCCGTTGAATTGGGATGATGTGGAGGTTTGAAGACGGACTTTAATGGTATCGAATGGATGCCCAACTGTTGAAGGTATATGATTAGCATTTGGATTTTTCTTATTGTAAGATAGATAGCAATATCAATTGGCAAATCAACCCGCATTCATAAATCACCCAGCATTTTCTCTCCAAAATATAAACAGTGCTCAAATTCGCAAGCAAAGAAACCTCAAATTGTCATACCAGTAAGTTTCGAAACTCCCGAAAACACACCCGCCACGAATCCTCTATAATTCTTTGCCTCTCTCTTCTTCTCTACCATTTTCTCCCCACCGTCGGTAGTGTTCCCTCCTATTTGCAACCGCGACATGGTGGCAGACTCACTCGTAGCCATTTCGATTGCCTAGATAGGCTAACTGATCACAAATCCGCGAGTCTGTTGCAAACATTAAGTCTTGTCTTGTCTTGTCTGACCCTCGTCTGAAAATCACAAATTCACAATGAAGTCCACACCGATAAGACAGGGAGAGACAAGCTAGATGGGAGGAAGCTTTTCGCGAGCAAAGGATCGATTGAGCTTGCTTGCTCGTTTGCGTGGTTGGTTATCAAACAGTAGCTTGTAATTGGAAGGCACGATATTCTCGATTTGTTATGTCGCACAGCAAGGGTTTTGGATCGCCGTTATTTCAGATTGATAATACTTTGCAGCATCTTGGTACTACCTACGAGTAGCTTATTAATAGATCATATCCAATATGTTCGAACTTCGGATGGATGACGAGTTGAACGACCAAACTGGGTGGAGCTGTGACTAGGTAGGAATGCTTTGAACCTTGAAGAATCATTTGGCGAAGTCGGAGGCCGTTGCGACTGTGAGCTTCCAAGTTCCAATTGACCTTTTCTTTTTTCTTTTTTTCCTTCTATGATCTCTCTGCCTTATCGATGAGAATCGTCAATGTGTATATCCACCATAGTATGTATACATGGTATTGATTGGCTAGATAAGCAACGATGAGAAGCTTGATCGGCAAAGGAACGAAGCGATGCACGCTCGCACGGAAAGACTGCGATAGTCTTGGCTGAGGATAGCTGAGGATAGCTGGAGCTGAGCACACCAGCATAATAAAAGCGGCCATCAAAAGCAAGGGAGGTGAGGGGCAGATGGGAATTCAAAGTGGGGGATTATCAAGATCTCGAAACTCGTCGGATGAATCTCGATTATCGTGAGACTCGAGTATCATGAAGCGGTCGGTATAATAATAAGGCTGGCTGATTGAACTTTCCCAAACTTCAGATTTTTCTCTTCAAACATGTATTTGTGGGTAAGTTACCTAGGCAGTATGCAATTAGAATACTTCAGATGTCTTTCTACTCACCATTTATTGAAGCTTGAAGCAACAATTGACGCGTTCACATCTTGGCATTTGGGATGAGTCCCGTAACAAAGTGTTTCGTATACCTATCCATTGGAGGTTTGCTGACATTAGGATATTTAAGGATATTTAAGGATATTTAAGGATATTTAAAAGATGCTGTGATGTGAACCTGTCCCCTTTTGATCAATTCTGAGCCAGTAGCCCAAGCACGCCTTTCTTCTTCTATTCCTTTCTACTGTATAAATACTTTTCAATCATTACTAAAGGTTACTTGCTCACTTCTTGCGCTCTTCCTTTCTTGACGAAAAGTTGTTTGTTATCTATCATTGAAACCTAAAGCTGTGCTTATTCTTTTGATCAATTCATATATACCCCTCCAGAACTACATAATCAATACATCTCACACGCAACACTTCTCGAAGTTGAAGAACATTTCAGGAAAATGACATCCTCCGAACGAGTTACCGAGTCCAAGAAGGGTATGTTATTCTGTTCAGGACAAAATTCGGCACATCTGCCCATCATATCAAAAAAATGACTCAACTGACAATACCTTCTCCGCAGTCTGGACAACCCTCATAACCAACACCGCCTACCTCTCCGGTCTTCTAACCCTCGACTACTCCCTCAAAAAACACAACTCCAAATATCCTCTCGTAGCCCTCTACACCGATGCCTTCCCTCCTGAAGGCCACGCTGCGCTCGAAGCCCGTGGTATTCCTAAGCAGCGCATTGAATATCTTCTCCCAAAGAATGGCGGAAAAGATTATTCCAACGACCCTCGCTTCTACGATTGCTGGTCTAAACTCGCCCCTTTTAGTTTAATCGAATATGAGCGCGTTGTGCAACTCGATAGCGATATGTTGGTCCTTCAAAACATGGACGAGTTGATGGAATTAGAACTCGATGCGCCGGAGGTGGCGGGCAAGGGACAGAGAGTTTTTGCTGCGGGCCATGCATGTGTCTGCAATCCGCTAAAGAAGAAACATTATCCTGCTGATTGGTTTGTTCACCCTCCAATCTATTCACTTTATCCGAAGGCACAACTAGAGACAAACTAACATTCCTCCAGGGTTCCCGAAAACTGCGCATTCACCTCCCAGCACAACACACCAGAAGTCGCACAAACCACCGGACCACCTCCCAACACCTCTCCTCTCGGTTTCATGAACGGCGGTCTTCAAGTCGTCAACCCTTCTTCTGGCGTATACAACGCCATTCTTGATCATCTTTCCTCAGACGCCGCAATCAATATGGATTTTGCAGATCAATCTCTCCTCTCTGATCTCTTCAAAAATCGATGGGTGCCACTTCCATATATTTACAACGCCCTCAAAACGCTGAAATGGGAAGGCGTCCATCCTCAAATTTGGAGAGATGATAAAGTAAAGAATATTCATTACATTCTAGCCCCAAAACCATGGGATGAGATGGATGAGGAGGGAAATTTCATTGGTAAGGATGCGACGCATGCTTGGTGGGTAACACATAACCAGGAGAGGTTGAAGGGGGAGAAGGAGAGGGGAATTAAGGTTGATGGGTTTTAGATGAGTGGTATGTTCTTTTTTGCGACTGGAGAATAGACAGGTACTTGAGTTTTAGGAGACTAGCTGAGAGCCAGCTGTATTGATGGCTCGTATCACATAGCATAGATATTTATAACGTTGAAATTAGAGTAGAAACCTCCATAATTTCTTTACGAAATTAATAAGCGAACCATTGGATATACCTAATTCAAGCTTCAAATACCCAATACCCATCAAGTTCATTTCCATCATATATCATCTATTTTCCATGTTTTCTCTGGTAATCTCGTCGCTTCATTCCCCAAACATAACTGAGATAGTCCTATTGGTCATATGTAGAACATATAGTTGACTAGTAACATCACAGAATCTCAAGTCTTCTCGTCTTATCTCCTGTTCACCTTTTCGATGTCTTCGCTAATGAATCTAATAAAGAACAAACCGAAGTTCCAAGTCCATCCAACATATCGACACTTAAGGTGTCATGCCGCCGGACCGAAACACAGATTTCCCGCTCCGAGCATAAAGATTAGAACGGCTGGTCAGCTCAAGCCAAGATGTTAATCTCTCAGTGTTTTTTCAGCAAGTGATATATGACATTGCGTTGTTTAGTACACCGGCGACAAGGAAAGATATACCATCAACAAATTGAGAGCATGTGATCTAGATGGTAGCTGCGGGTAACCGTAGCTTCAAGAAAATAGGCTAAATCCACCAACGCCTTTCTCCACAACCTTCATCTCTTCCCCAGATTCCCTCCGCATTTTCATGCCAGCCTGAGTTTTGGGATTCTTGAAAGTACCTAGGTATCTGTGTAACTTCAAGTAGCTTAAGTTTATTTCTACTCCATATCTCGCAAGCTTGGAAGTCAATATACGACTACTGCATCTAGACCTTAGATTCTGCTTTCCTTCTTCGCGAGAGTTTTAGACAAGAGGAAGTGTTAGCTGTCATCGGCTGTGCTCTCTCACGTTCCGAAACTGTGGATGTTCTTCTGGCTTTATTTGGTACCTGGCCATGGAAATCACGTTCTTAGTCTCTGTCCCTGCAGTGGGATTATCTTCAAACCCCACAAAATACCATTCCTGTCAAGCTGACAGAAGGTATAATACAGATCATATAGCAAGTGGCAGTTCATATAGCACATGATCCTATACAATCCTTTAACGGGCCGCTGCTCCTTAGTCGCTCAGGTACCTGGAAAGTTACGTGATTTCTTTAATCTAAATTTGGTTTGGGTGATTTTCCGTCGATTGTCTTGATTGGATACTGGATATCACTTTAATTGGTCGTTATAGTAAAATGCATCTCGTTTGATATATTTTATCCAGTCATATTTCGCGGGGTCCTGCCAAGAATTTGAAATTATGATGTTCTTCATGATCAATCCATGATATCTTTTGAGTTCTACTCAGGCTATACAAATTCTACTGGCAAGCCGGCGCCGGACTCCCGTTGTGATATTGGAGTGCAGCTCGCATATAGATGATTAAATGTGAGTGCGTGTTAGTTCCTCAAGATTTGTATGGCCAATATGGCTAGTCATATCTCAGTCCGACTGATATAAAAGACTGTTTCTTTCTCCAAAATGTGAATATCCAACCACACACACAATCTTTACTTCTTCAACTGTCCTGTCAAAATGGGTTTCAAGAATGTTCTCCTCGCTGCTGCTGCTGTAGCACCTACTGTGTATGCACAAGGTGTAGGTTACGCACAATGTAAGTTATCACGCTTTATCGGTTGGTAATATGGTATTAACACATCTTTCAGGTGGTGGTCAAGGTTGGACTGGCGCAACAACTTGCGTTTCGGGATTTAGCTGTGTTGTTAGCAATCCATACTATTCTCAGTGTTTACCAGGCGCTGGGGTCACGACAACAGCAACTTCAGCTCCCACCGCAACGACTCCCACCACAATCATCACATCTACCACCAAAGCTACCACGACCACCAGTGGCAGCAGTGCAACAACAACAGCAGCAGTTGCTGGTAATCCATTCGTAGGAAAAGCACTCTATGCGAATCCATACTATGCTTCCGAAATCTCTGCGAGTGCTATTCCTTCACTCACTGGAGCCATGGCTACTAAAGCCGCTGCGGTAGCAAAGGTTCCAACCTTTTATTGGCTGTAAGTCATCGTCTTTAACTAGATGATGGAAATGATAGCTAATAGACTTAGTGACACCGCAGCCAAAGTTCCATTGATGGGAACCTACCTTGCCAATATTCGGGCTTTGAACAAAGCAGGAGCAAGCCCACCTATTGCAGGCACTTTCGTAGTCTACGATTTGCCAGACAGAGATTGTGCCGCCGCCGCTTCCAACGGAGAATATAGCATTGCAGACGGTGGTTTAGCGAAGTACAAAGCTTATATCGATTCCATCGCCGCTCTTTTGAAAACTTACTCCGATGTCAGCGTTATCCTCGTTATTGGTAAGTGAATTCTTTATTTCAAGCTTATGTTGGTTTGTGGCTAATCATCCAACAGAACCCGACTCGTTGGCCAATCTCGTCACCAACTTGTCAGTCGCAAAATGTGCCGGTGCGCAAGCAGCCTACCTAGAGGGTACCGAATATGCCATCGCGCAATTGAATCTTCCAAACGTCGCTATGTACTTGGATGCTGGACATGCTGGTTGGTTAGGATGGTCTGCAAACATCGGACCGGCTGCACAACTCTTCGGCAAAGTCTACAAAGCAGCTGGAAGTCCAGCGGCAGTCAGAGGTCTTGCAACTAATGTTGCAAACTACAATGCTTGGACTAGCACCAGTTGCCCTTCCTACACCTCTGGCGACTCCAACTGTAACGAGAAATCGTACATCAACGCTCTCGCTCCACTTTTGACCGCTCAAGGTTTCCCAGCTCACTTCATTACTGATACTAGTAAGTAACATCTTTTCAAATCATCGAAGACGATGCTAACAACTCAATAGGTCGCAATGGTGTTCAACCAACCGCCCAACTCGCCTGGGGTGACTGGTGCAACCTCATCGGAACCGGATTCGGTGTTCGACCAACCACAAACACAGGAGATGCATTGGAAGACGCATTTGTCTGGGTCAAGCCCGGTGGAGAAGGCGACGTTAGTTTTCCCACACACCCCATCCCCATCTCTTCTTATTTTCAACACACATACTAACCTAACAATCAGGGAACTTCAAACACCAGCGCTGCGCGATACGATTTTCACTGCGGACTCGCAGATGCGCTCCAACCGGCTCCAGAGGCGGGTACTTGGTTCCAGGCCTACTTTGCTCAATTGCTTACCAACGCCAACCCAACCTTTTGATTAAGCGGAGAAGTTGGGAGCGGAAAATGAAGATGAGATGGGGAATGAAAAAATCATACACTCTTTACCCACAACGTGATATGGAGAAGAAAAGCAGTTCTTCGATATATGGTCGATCGTTACATGTTCATTGTTTTTTGTCACTGTTCCGATTCGATTCGATTCGATTAACATATGTATATAAACTTTTTACCTCTTCGATTCTTCTGTATATATCAAAATACAAATTGTTCTCTTTATGTTTGAGAGTTGAATATTCAATATCTGTTTGAATGTGCGTGTATGGGAAATGAATAGTCGCCTACTAACCTACCGATTGCAATTTCGGATGTTTCATGTTTTATCTATGGAGATTATGCAGAGGTGTATTTTCCGAACACGTGGAAATATTTCCAGATGATTGTTCTTGAAAGTAAATCTGTCTTCCTGATGATGTGTTTTTGTTGGATTATTCAAGTAGATGTATTGTATATGTAATCGAGAAGGTATATTGACGTTGGTATGTATGTATCTAAAACATTCGATTGTAATTGTACGATAATTGCAATAATATTAATAATAATATTATTTGTATTAAAGTATATAGATATCACACTATAGGTTATCCTGCAGTCTACAAATTAATGGACTTGGATTTTTCGGCTTTGGAGAAAGAAATTCGAAGGATAGATCTAGATAGTTTTTATGGTACTGTTATGAATGTATCTTTTATATTATTATAAAATGTTTGGGGTTTTGAGGGGAAAGGGTAAAGAAGAGAGAGGAGAAAAATATATATATATTTTTTTTTTTGATTGAGAATTAGAAATTTAGGATTTGTTTGATGGGGGAAATTTTCATCAGGGAATAAAATTTAGATAGTATTGAGATTTAACTCTCAATCTCGTAAGAGGAATTGGCATGATATGGGATAGTATGTACTTTGTATGAATTTGTGAGATTGTAATCTTACAATTCATTCAATATTTAGGGACTTTGTGTTTGGGGATGATAGGTTTATTGAACTATAGGATGGAGGCTCGTAGGTAGGTACAGTAGTTGACAGATACATTTCGCAGGCTGGGACAATTCTACATTTCAAGTTCGAAGAGAGAAAATGGAAGATGGAAAATACCTAGGTATGCAGAGTAGATTCAAATGTTTAAATGAAGGTTAGGGAGGGAGACAGTCTTGTGATACATGAGAACTTTTTTCTTTTTGGTTAATTAAGGTTATCTGGGTTAAGAGGTGGGAGGTAGGTATGTATTAGAATTGCCGGGCTCCTCAAAAATTATATTAGCATGTCATTAATTAAGGTTAATTAAGGTTAAATATCCTCCTGGGATCTGGGGAAAAAGGATAAATAGATAGGAGAGATGCAATGCAATGCAATGCTTGTTCCACCATATGCACGTTGTATAAACAAACCGCGCACCAGAAAGTGCAAACAGAATAGCCGAAATCTGGGGTAACCTTATGTGGCATTTCCTGGTGACAGAGCATGGCTGAATGGGAAGAGGTTAAGGTTATTTACCCCTGGATTTATCCGAGGATGGGTGGTGCGCTGCGGGTCCGGCTTATGCTGATGTGCTTTGTGATTGAGAGGAATAGAGTTGGGGTTGGGGTTGGGGCGAGCCTTGGCGTGTAGGTACTGTGTACTACTCGTATGTACCGCGGTATGTACGTACGGAGTACAGGGGATTGCGATGGGGATGGGAATGGAAATTTAAGGGTTAAGGAAATTTTTGGTGTAGATTTAAGGGGGGAGGGAAGGAGGGTTTGTAGGTATGGTGGTGGGGAACTCGGAGGATTTTTGGAAAGGGAAAATTGGTAGATACCGGTAGATGAGGATTAGACTCTGAATAGAATTCCGAGTATTTCATTCTTTTCCTTTTCCATCCCACTAATCTAAGAGAAATACAAATGCAAATCCCATCTAGACCTATCTCCTACTCCGCCCACAGAAACAATTAAACAAACAAACCCCAGAGATAAATTGAGCGGACCCACTTTCTCATCTCATCTCATTCACAATACCGACCCTCGGCCCAACCCAACCCCATACACATGAAACTCTTCCCGCAATCCCGTTTCGGAGCCCCATCGTCTTCTTTCCGACAAGTCAACATTTCACGTACTTAAACTACGCTAAGCTCCAGTATTATATGGCAGTTTAGAATCACGAGATTGGTAAAGATGACGCATACCCCATATATCATGTAATAGTGGAGTATTAGTACCAGAGTAAACCTAGGAGATTTAATATAGAGCGGATATGCATTCTTATATTTTCTTTTAGGGGGGAGGGGAAATGAGAATGAATCTGGAACACGGGGGTTTCGGTCCGTGGATGGAGATCTTTGGTGAGGTGATAGGAATCGATGGCAATGGGATGTAGGGAGAGTATTCAAATCGGCAATTAGGGGGTTAATTAGAGAACTTAGGTGTACACCGGTGATAGCGTGCCGGGTTTCGATGATGGGTTGGAATCTGGACTATATGATCCGCATGAATATCTTGGCGTTTCCAAGATATAAACTTTCTCGTTCGCGCTGTTTATACATCATACTTTTAGCCACCTCTCTTCATACCTTCAAGATGAAGCTCTCAACTCCCCTATACACAATCGTTCCACTCGTGTCCGCCGCCGCTGCACAAGGCGCCGCGTACGCACAGTGTGGCGGTACGGGGTGGACTGGCTCTACAACTTGTGCGTCGGGTTATGTGTGTACATACGGGAATGCGTATTACTCGCAATGCTTGCCTGGAACTGGTGAGTCTGCTTCCGAGAGAGAGACAGAGAGGGAGAAAGTTACAGCAGCGTATGAAGACAAAATGCCAACATATGGCAATATAGCAACTTTAACAACAGTTACAAGTGCAACAACCAGTGCAGGCGCAACACCAAGTTCGGCGGGAAAGACAAAGTATAGTAAGTTCATGCTATTAGTACCATATCATGAGAATGTTATGATTGAAGGACTCGTACTGACACATTCAAGTTGGTACCAACATCGCCGGATTCGACTTCGGCTGCACAACAGATGGTACATGTCTAACCAACAAAATCTTGCCAGCGCGTACTCCTTCTCCTTTCTAACTCTAATTGCCCGCTAACTCTCCTCCCCAACAGGCTCTCAAAAGCCTCAACAATGGCCCCGATGGCCTAGGTCAAATGACCCACTTCGTCTCCAAAACTGGTCATAATATTTTCCGTCTCCCCGTTGGCTGGCAATACCTTGTGAACAACAATCTCGGGGGAACACTCGACAGCTCCAATCTTGCGACCTATGATCAGCTGGTCCAGGGATGCTTGGCAACGGGTGCTACCTGCGTAATTGATATCCATAACTATGCGAGGTGGAATGGAGGCATCATTGGACAGGGAGGACCAACGGATGCGCAGTTCGTGAGTCTGTGGACTCAATTGGCGGCGAAGTATAAGTCAAATACTAAGATCGTTTTTGGATTGATGAACGAACCACATGGTGTGTATTTTCCTTTTCTTGAGGGGGGTGGAGCGTGAAGTGGAGGAGAGAGGAAAGAGGAGAGGAGAAATGAATACTTGAATACGAACTAATGGAAATATAGATTTGAATAGTATAACCACCTGGGCAGCAACGCTTCAAAAAGTTGTTACTGCTATTCGTCAAGCGGGCGCAACATCTAACATGCTTCTACTCCCTGGTACTGACGTAAGTATAATGACACCGTACATTCTTTCTGAGCGCTTTTTCTTCCAAACCACTGCAAGCTTCTTCATGACTTTAAATCAATCCATTAACTTCAACCATCTAGTACACATCCGCAGGCGCTTTCATCACCAACGGTAGCGGCGCCGCCCTCTCCAAAATTACCAATCCTGATGGCACTTTCACCAATCTGATCTTCGACGTACACAAATATCTCGACTCCGATAATTCTGGAACCCACACCGAGTGCGTAACCAACAATATCGATACTGCATTTGCACCACTAGCAACTTGGCTACGGGCAAATAAGAGACAAGCTATATTGAGCGAGACAGGCGGTGGAAATACCGCAAGTTGTCAGAAGTACTTGTGTCAAGAAGTTGATTATTTGAAGTATGTTTCCAAGTTTCTTTCGTCTTTGAGATTGGGAATGGAAGGCTGTGGTATATGTTATTAACGATGTGATTGCACAGTGCGAACTCGGATGTCTATTTGGGATATATTGGATGGTCTGCTGGAAGCTTCGATTCAACTTACGGTAAGTGCAGCAATTTTCATATGTCCATCATTTTTTGTTCGATAACATACTAATATTCATGTGACAGAATTGGTAGAAACGCCAATTGGAAGTGGATCTTCTATGACTGACCAAGCGCTCGTCGCGGCTTGTCTTACTCGAAAATAGTAGCAATGAGGATTGATTGATCGGGGCTGGTACACTTTGGTGAAGAGATTGTACATAGTGGAATGAGTCTGTATATATTTGATTGGCTGTACATAGGAAGCATTACGCGAGAAAGAGGAAGAATAGAACAACTTTGTCTTTACTCTGCAATACGGATTGTTTTTTTCTAACATCAGTGAAATGAAATGAGAATTTTAAACGCATTGGAAGGCTTTATCGAATTTAACGACTAGGATTGTAGAGAGGAATGAAATAGTGAATTTAATGGAACCACCGGCAGTTGTAGACGATAACGAAATACTGTTTGCATTTGAAGTCAATAGCAGAGCCCCACTATAAATTAAAGTTTCGGCAAGAATAATTCTGATGATAGCATTGTATGTATCCAGTAGATTTAGCCTTTGAAGTACCCAAGTTCATCCGCCTGAAAAGCGACATCTGGCAGTTTTCTGTATTTCCTGGAGGTTTACATCGGGTTATGATCTTGGTCTAGCAGCCATCACGTTCCTGTGCTAAGTGGATGACACACTTCTATTTTCTTTTTTGCTTTTCACATCTCTGAAAGAAGAAGCACCTTTTGCGGTATTTTGGAAGCCGCTGCACCACCAAGTGATGAAAGCAACCGGGTATATATATGAAGATCCACCAGATGTGAAATGTGGTCATGAAGAGATCGTAAACTGTTACAATTCTTAGATCAAGGAAGTCCACTGTTTCCACATTATTTTATCAAGACTCCCACTTGACGATCGAGAGATTCGGGGGTACCCTTCAGTTCGTCTGATTTGGTTATATGTCCTTGTGCTTTCCTGCATAAATTACATTTCTTCGATTTATTATTCCTTGGTTGGCCTGGCTTTAACTCGAGACAACTTTCTCTTCTCCGCCATCCATGAGCATGTCATCATTTCTAAGCGTAGCGATACTGTACAGATGTTCGATAGCGTAACACAATCGGAACATTAGTACTTGTCCTTGGAATAATGGCCAAAGATTATACATCGAAGACTTTTTGAAGATCAACCATTAGATTGGTATCCGCGTGAGCTCATGAGTACATCAGTTTGTGTGAAGACGATATAAAGATACTGAGTTTGAAATGATGCAGAACTCAATAAATTCTGGATAGAAAAATCAAAAGATACCCTCCTCACAGACATACCAAGTGCGGTCAAGCGAAACTCACGTGCCGTGAGTTTTTCAGAAAAAAAAAAAAAAGAACAACAACCAAGTGAAAAAAGACCGCGAACGTATGGCATTTTGGGTACTAGGTGAATAAATCGCTGTGGGATTCTTGCAATTTCCGTATTTCAATGTCACTGACATGATATAGTGATGGCCTAACCTTTGATATCGATTATCTCCAGCCGTCAAGTATCAATATAACCCAGAATCTGAATCTTCGACAAGACGAACTCTGCGCCCATGTCGCCCGCTAACCAGATACTAGAATCACCAGTTGTAGCATTCTTGATACCCAGACTTTGTCTACAAATACAAACCACACGCCCATCTTGGCATTACCCAAGTTCACAAACCATTCGCAAGCCTCGAAAACACACACGTGATCATCCCTAGCATAAAAAGATGCAACTACGGCACGAAGTTTTTGACGAGATATCTGAGGTTACGTTTGTTGCATATCGCATACGAGCCGACCCGTTTCATTTCCTAAATGAGCAAGTCACGATCAAGATCTATACGAGATATTGTATGCTTGTGCCATGTTGGTGACATGCTGTGGTGCTTTGAGGTTGTAGTGCAGCGATTTTATGTAAAAACGGGTGAGCTTGATCTGGGGAACCCTGGAAATGGGAGGTTGAGATGTGGTGGTGGGAGAACAAGAGTGGTAGAGATAACTAATGTAGTCAAATCATATCTGGGCAATGTGTATATCTCGAGTGGTTCGTGAGCCGTCTTGGATGGTAAGAATTAAGTGAGTGGTCACTTTAAAATAGTCATAATGACGGGACGGGATGGAAAGTATACTAGGCTGACTCGAGGCTGAGTCGAGGTTGGTCCCACAAGCCGACACGGCCCGATTAAGCACGTGCTCTCATGATTCTGCCAGGAAGCGGTGAAGATAAAATGGCATGGGAAATTGGTTCTGTTCTACGGTTTACCACCCAGTTAGATATCTAGGAAGTAGAGAACATTGTGAGTAAAAAAGTCCGACTGAATCATATCATGAACACGGAGAGCCATCGTGTAGAATCATCGAAAGACTTAAAGGGATATGGCTAAATCTGGCGTAGTCAGCCATGATTCGACGCGGGCATAGGAGATCTCAACTCAGAATGCCATCCTCATTTTAAGCAGATCCTTCTCGATGATCTCATCTTTTTTCTTCATAAGTTCTTCCATATCCCATGGACAGCTTACGTATCGTCCACCAAGCCACTCTTTGCGCTCAGAAGCCAACCATGCAATCGTATCCCCAGCTATCTCTGGACGGTCAGGAAACCGATTCCGCACCTCCTCAGGAGCGGTCTCAGTAATCTTCGTCTTGATCGCACCCGGATTAACACAATAGGTCAGAAATCCTTGATCGCCATATTCCAATTGTAAAGATTCGGTTAACCTCAAAATTGCAAGCTTCGAGCTCCGATAACTTGCACTTCCAGGACGAGCGCTCAATGCACCTGAAGAGGATACATTGATCATTGTGCATAAGCCGTTATTGTTTGCACGAGCCAAAAGCTGCATAGGAAGGAAGGCACGAGCAACGTTTAGGATTCCGTGAATATTGACCTCCCAAGTTCGCCAGTGAACATCTGGATCTGAATCGAGTAACGGCTTGTATGGTTCCATATGAGCTGCATTGTTGATGACGATATCCAGACGTCCATCAAACCGTTCTGATACGATCTTATACATTGCTTGAACGCTTTCTTCTTTCGAGATGTCAACGGTACAGCTCAGCACCATGGGCTCCGAATGTCCGGCTTGCGTTGCAGTCAGTTTAAGCTTCGTGACAAGATCGTCTGATACGCCGTGGAGATCAGCTAATGCTACTGCCGAAGCACCCGCACGCACGAATGCTGTAGCTGTAGCATATCCAACCCCATCCTCCCACGCTGCTCCTGTAACTAAAACATTTTTTCCAGCAAGGTCCAGCTTGATTGGGGAAATGTAGTCATAAGTCGTAGAGTGCCGTGTGGCAGTAAAGTTGCCACCAGAGAGCGCTAATCTATCTGATATTGCTGATTTTGTAAGTCCCGTGAGATTATACAACCTGGGGGATAGAAATTACAGCTACACACAAGCAAGAAACTCGATTGTACACATGTGAGGATTGTGCGAGAAATGTGAATAACGATATTCTCCAATTAAGTTGCACCGCTAATTGGCAGATAGCCATCGTTGTTGCATTGGCGTTGACTGGCGTTGTTCTCCACTACGGACAAGTCTGCTTAGAAATCTGAAAACGCAATGACACTATGTCTCGATATAAGGATATCCGGACGTTACATCCTTGACACCATGATGCTTGGCCCCATTCACTTAAAAAGCAACCAATCTCTTTGTGCATTGTAAAGGTGGACGTCGCTTCTTTAGCCACTAATCGCTAGCAGTAGGATGCATAATGGGTACGCACGAGAAATATACCGAGAAGCAAGACGGGGGCGCTAGAATAGGTGGTAATCTTCTTATGATCAGATCCAAAGAATCTCATCATCGAATTAAAAATCATTGAATGTGGGCTATTAAGGTGATTCTGCGACTTCGTGATGATCTTTCCTTAGAAGAGAACATATCAGTAGGTTAAGCAATCACTCAAATTTCAATCTCGTTCCAAAACATAGAACTCATATTCGAGTCCAGGTGTCGGCTCATTCCCGTCGAGTAAAACTATGCCAAGCTTCAGTCTACACCGCAGCGTAGACACCCGAAGCTAAATGTTAAATCGACCACAGCTCCGCATATCCCGAAGTGGCTAACCATATTCCGCTCAACAATTCTACACATGGAATGGTGAAAAGCCATTTTACCAATTCAAGGATTCCTTACTTAGAGCTTCTGTCATGGGCGTTAAAGATACCCCATACTCACTCAAAGCATCAATATCCACATTATAACGAACATCGCGCTGCCATATCTATGCCCCCACAACTTCATTGCCTTGCTTCCAAAGGGCCCTCGCCACTAGATCGGGTAGGTATTCAACGGTGATCTCTTTACCACTCACCGCACCCAATCGATCAGCTATTTCAGCGGCTGACAATTTCTCGGCAGCTAGCGTGAGAGTCTTCTTAGAATATCTATTGGGTGATTGGATAACTTTGGTAGTAAAGCGAGCAATATCCCAACGCTGATGAGGTCTAGAAGCGTGCTGGGGAGGAACGCAATTCGAGGCGTTTGCAATTCTGAAAGCCTTAGGAACATATGATCACATTTTGGGCAGCAGAAGTTCTGCATGAAGAACGCAGGTCGTAGAATTGTCCAGTAACTGAAACCCAAAGTGCGAACCAGTTTCTCAATCTCGCCTTTCTGGATCCAATACTGTGCTGATGGATATTCCTTGCCCCAATCATGGAAAGTCTCATGATCTCCAGTTCTCGCAACGCTAGATCAAACCACCTGGGTCACCTTTTCCTGCTGGGCAGCTTCCAGCACATTCTTCGCATATAAAATTTCGTTCTTCAGATTTGGCGGAAGGGCGAGATAGATAGTGTCCGCACCGCTAATGGCGCTAGCAACTACTTCAAAGGATTCTAAATTGCCAGTATGAACCTCCGCTCCTAGAACTCGTAAAGCTTGGGCCGCGCTGGAAGAGGAAACGCGGACGAGGATTTGTACTTTGTAACCAAGCTGAAGTAATAGTATAGATAATGGGCGACCTTGTTCACCGGTAGCGGCAGCAATAAAGACACTTTTGGCCATTGTGAATTTATAAAAATTAAACACTGGATGTGAGGAGCAAAACAATATTAAGGGATCAAATGAGATAATGCTTTCTTCAGAATGAAACTTCGCTCATAGAGGACATATCCTTGCTTGCTTGTGTCTTAAAAATCATTGAATCTCGAGTTTCCTGGGGAATGACGGGGGGAGGATTTATGGCCAATTCAGGTCAAAAAGAGGGTGATATGCAGCTAGTGTAGGTCGAGAGAGAGGTTGATTGGATTATGGGGTTGTGGTTACGCTTCCGATGTTCGCTGAGGCGAGTGACAGTCTCTGTAATGGCATGCAGCTGCACAACGTACTGGATATCTGAGTCTTCTCCAACTGAAACTTGGGACAAAATCTTAGGAGTCTCGTCCACAAACCTTAAAGATGCCTTGTAATGGTGGCCAGTGGGTAGAATAGCCTTTTGAAACTCTACTGTAGAAAACGCTATGGGGATTAGGTGCTGAATCTTGCGTAACAATCCAATAATATCTATACGGTACCTGTCCGCTCGTGTTACGTTCTTTCTCTAGCTAGAACAGCAGCAATTCAGGGAAAAGGCTTTGTCGGTCGCTTCAAGGAGGGAGTACGATGCTCCTTTGCCTTTGGGGAATTGATGATCCTAGAAATTTAATTGCAACGAGAGCGAGCATTGCTTTGTTTTGAGACATACTGCTTTGTAACGCCGTCACGATTTGTTTTGCTTTGCGTTATATATAGCCTACCATTATTCTTACCCTCTTGGCGTTGCAGAAAAGCCCATACGTCCACATCAGCGATATTATCAAACCAATAACGATTAGTAATCTCTCTCTTCGCTTCGTTGGCCCGAAACTTAAAATTCTTAGTGTATACTCGTACCGGTATCTAATATTTATTAAGGATTTCATGTCAAGCTAAACTTAAAATCTAAATTAGCTTTCTTCACTCATGCCACTCTATTATATTTTCTCCATCTTCACAATCTGCATCACTTCATTGGTATCACTCTTCAGATTTTGATACTTTCCTCATACTTTTTTTTCTCACTTTGTGGAATGGAAGTTATTCTAAATTTCCTACAATAATCATCCATTTCCCCACGATTTGGGCCACAATCGCGCTTCGTACTCCTGACTAGCACGTAAATCTAATACCATGGCTGATTCTCGGACCCCAATCTCCCACTCACAACGGGTCGCACTTCGTCGATATTACCAGACAACTACTCCGAAGCCTTCCCAGTCTGAAGTGAGAGTGTGGTTTCAGTCTCGCTTCGGCTATAATATTAGTCAGTCCATCGTCAGTCGAAGCCTTAGCAACAGCTTCGCTTATCTAGATGTCTCTAATGCTTCAGACTCTGAATTTCGAACACGAAATTGTCAATGGCCTTGGCTAGAGACTTTACTCACAGATTGGCTTCAAGAAGTGGAGGCTGGGTCTGGTAAAGTTACACACAAATCCATCGGACAAAAGGCCAAGGAGCTATGGGATCAATCAGACGAGTCACGGGGTTTAGTGACGCCAAAATTTTCTCATGGCTGGATTGTCAAATTCAGACGGAGATACGAGATGAGGCTCCAAAATTCCCTCAAACAGGATCACACAATTCTGACACCAGATCATCCATCGGGCGGAAATTCCTCTTCGCTGCCATGTGGAAGCTCTGCGGGCACATGCAACCAATCTCTAATCTCATTTTCGCCCCAAACAGAGGCATCAACAACCACCTCTTTAGCAAATAACACCAGCCTCGCTACCGGAATGAATATATCAGCGACACCTACGATATCATCTGATCATTTTATCCACCTTGTTCAACACAATTCTTATCGGGCTTTGATGTCTAATAAAGATCTGATATTTGCATCAACACTCATTCTCAAGGCATCACCTCTGACAGCACCTATCAAACAGTTTGCTACTAAAATTTGTGGCGGCCTAACAGTCGTCCATCCTCTTGATGGCATACTTATGCCTGGTTCACTATATCCAACGGAATTGCAGATGACCTGTGCCCATACGGGCGTTATAAATATGTTTCCTTTCCCGAAATTTCGGAATAACCTCATTCAGAAAGGTGTGAATTTCGTGCCTGAAGAAATGTGTCGGGACCTCTTTGGTGATATTTTCCCAGATTATGTTACACCAACACCAGATTCTCATGAATGCACATTACAAATGCGTGATGTTTTAGCAGCACTGCCGTCAATTGAAGAAAACGATTTTGGTATCGATGGTTCCGAAGATCAGGATGATTACACAGCTGGACGTAAATGTATGATCAACTGGGGTCATCCATGGAATGTAGAAAGTTGGGAAGTTACACCCGGCTTTGTGAAAAAATGGAGCTGGGCACTAGAAGGATGTGATGATTTGATCCAAGCAAGCAATAAATGGCGTGCATCTAGAAACGAGAGGCTGATAACGTGGAATGCAAATATTGGAAGCTCGACTGTTGAAGTCTTTTAGATGATGATCGGAAAGAACTCTACCTGGTCTAATCTCTTCCTAGTTGTAATATAAGAACCAGTGAGGAAGGCATAAGGATAGAGGATATTGATTGAATTGCAAGCGCCATATCATACTACATCCCCCTTGAAAGTGACAAATTTCCAGACAAAGAGCTGTGTAGAAATTTCAATGCTACAAATTCAAAAGTTTGAAACGTTCTCTAAAACAAAGCCGTATTGTAAATTTTTAAGAACATAGTATGGAGGTGTGTGCGGAATTTTTTGGTCATAACTATTTCTTCCACCTTTGTCGATGTATGTTTCTTGATAGGGGGAGGGTAAAGATCACAGGGCCCCTTCCCCTTTCCTCCCTTCCCTTCCTCAGCCAGAGGGGGAAAAATGTTTCCATTCGATGCGTATGGAGAAGTATATATAAGCCAATATTCGCATCAAACAAATTTCAATTGTATGGTGAAGTGGTTGATATGCAATTGAAAAGATGGGAAAGAAATGATTTGAACTTCCATAGCCTGATATACCTACCAACAGAGGCGGATGACTAATCATTATATCCTTATATCGAAACACATCCTTATACCGTAATACATCCTTATGTCGAGACACATCCTTATATCGGGACACATCCTTATATCGGGACACATCCTTCTACCGAGCCATGTTTTTGCTACTTTAGTAAGAGAGCGTGATCAAGAATATAGCCCTGTTCCAGGATACAATAGTCCTTTTGTCTCGTAATAGGCGAGATTTGTCGGATTTCTTGTTTCCGCAGCACGCCGAGATGTTGGATTATGCATGAAATGGGTCGTGAAGTAAGTAGTAGCTCTAGTATAGCTGAAGACGGAGAGGGAGGAGGTCCAGCTTTGACTGCTCATGTGTAAGAAAAGTCCGATTCCTGTTGATTTATAATACCAAAGGTAAATTATGAATCTCTATCGCCGTCCAGGAGTTAAGGTTCCCAAGCCGAAAGTCCAGAATTGAAGGTTCAAGCAACGAAAAGAAATATAAATAGTTCTCCTATGTCTCCCAAATTAGAATTCACATTTTCTACATCATCACCAAATTTCAAATACCAAATCCGAACATACTTTCTCTCTCAATCACGATGTCTCGATACGCAGAAGTTCATCTGAATCCCAATGGCCCTGGGGATGCTCGTCCAACAGCCATGCAAATCATCAAGGACGAAGGTGCGGAGGGCAAGCTAGCTGGAAAAGTCATTGTTATCACAGGCACTTCGGCTGGAATAGGCATTGAGACAGCACGTGCTCTGTCTTTGACTGGCGCAAAACTGTTGTTGACCGCACGAGATTTGAACAAAGCCAAGAAAGCTTTGGATGGAATCCTCGCACCAGGACGCGCTGAACTGGTCAAGATGGACAACAATTCACTTAGCAGCGTACGTGCCGCTGCAAATGATATTCTCCAGAAGTCAAACAACCAAGTCAACATCCTTATTAACAACGCCGGTATCATGGCTCTGCCAAAACTGGAGCTTACGGAAGATGGCTTTGAAAAGCAATTTGGAGTCGATCATCTATCTCATTTCCTCCTTTTCGAGCTTTTGAAGCCAGCTCTCCTCGCCAGTGCCAGCCCAGAATTCTCATCTCGAGTCGTTAATCTCGCCTCTTCTGCCCATCACGTAGCACCGATCAACGAATCAGGCAACTACAATTTCGAGAAGACTGATTACAATGAATGGGTTGCATATGGGCAAGCCAAAACCGCCAATATCTATATGGCCAATGAAATCGAGCGGCGCTACGGATCCCGAGGGCTTCACGCCACAAGTCTTCATCCTGGAGTAATTGCCTCAACGGGACTCATGCAGTATATGGACCCTGCAGTGGTTGAAGAATTGAAAAAGGATAAAAGCGCATACAAAATAATGAAAACGCCAGAGCAGGGCGCTGCAACAACAGTGTGGGCCGCCATTGGAAAGGAATGGGAAAGTAAGGGCGGAGAATATCTTGCTGAGTGCGGAAAGACAACTCGTGGGAATGACAATCACGAGATTACGGGTGCAGGGTTTGCAGGGCATGCTTACGATCCTGAGGCTGAGGCTCGACTTTGGAAAGATTCGTTGGCAATGGTTGGTTTGAAAGACGACAAGTAGGATGTGTCTTCTCTCTTAATTCAGGAGCGTCGGCGACAAATCTTTCTGACAATTTTATTCGATGAATAACAAATCTGCTGTACTTTTAAGT